CCCGACTTATAGGACATTGACTCCTAGTTTTGATACGCAAGTTTCAGGCTCAAATAATATGGTGAAACTAATCAATTTTTTAGTTCTTTATTACCTTTATTAAAATAAAAAGTCTACTGTTGTATTAGTGTTGGGTTTGAACTACCACCACATGCTGCAAAGCTGATTGGGCTTGGTAAACTTGTAAAAAATTCTATCAATATTTATCCTATTGTATGGGATTAAATTCTAGTATTTACTATTCCCATATTAAATAAATATAAATATATATATTCCATAATATTAGTATTATATAACTGCTACTATGCTTCCCCCAAAATAAGACCTAACCAGAAAGTAAGCCCTAGCCCGATTTTTTGTCTGCTCCTAATATAAGCCCTACTCCAAAAATAAGCCCCAGTTAAGGTCATCAGCCAGCGGTAGATGTGGGTGAGTATAGCCAGCACCAGAGGCAGCGAGGGCATGGGGGCCAACGGTGTCTGGCAGCAGCTTTAGCCCGTGCAGCGCAGTTGAGTTGATTACCTGTCCAAGCAGCAGGCAGAGGCAGAGATGGAGAGGCATGTGATCCAGACATGCCGCGCAGACCATGGGAAAGCCAAGGGTCGGTGGGAGGCTGCAGGATGCTCGTATTTGCGCAGCGGCACTGACAGCAGATGATCCAAGGTCACCCAGCTAGCTTTGTGCCTAAATGGGATTAGAATTTATACTTTATAATCTGATACCTTAACCACTACACCAAACTAGGTCTCATGATTATTAAGGCTGGCTAATTAATTTCTTACCTGTACTAAAGAACATAATCAGTTATTTCTTGACAATAAGTACTTTGGGGAGAGTTAGAAAGTAATTTCAACTATATGTGATGTATAATATATTCAATTTTTAATGCAGTACACTAATGCTGGAATATGATATACTAGATGACCTCTGAACATCATTAGAATTCTGTATTATAATGTGTTAACTATTAACTATGTTGCTAAAGTACAGAATTATCATATGTTTCCTCTTACATTATATAGAAAATCAAAAGTCCTGATCTTTTTTTTTTTTTTTTGTAATTTATTATTGATGATATTTATTTATGAGGTATTTATCTGGTTGTTTTCTTTTGCTTTTGAAGGTTGACTTCGGGTCCAGAAAATACTCTCTTTCATTATATTTGTTTAGAAACAATGCATGGAATTTTTATTACTCCAACACATGCTGAAGTAGCACAACTCAGTGGAACTATCCATCCACAGCTCATCAAGAACTTCCATCGCTGTTGTCTATCCATCCGTTCCATTTTTCAACAAACTATGCTGAGAGACGTATGTCCTTATATTTTGGGAAGGGGCAAGGGAGAATTCTTTTGTTACAAACAACATTCTAGATATAACTGGGTAGATAGCTATTTCTTTAGACAAATTTCTACTTGTAAAAACTCCCCCTTCACCAGATATTTCAGACTTATCATATACAATGTGATGCTTTTTCTATTATATTGCCAATTCAGGTATTAATTTTGTTGCTCTTGCTTTACTGTAGAATAAAAAGTCTGGGAGAAGATCAAAATCGCAAAAAGCAAATTTGGATCTAAATCAAGTGAAAGAACATGGTATATTGTTTGAGTGTGCTCCTGACAGTTGTACTGACCGAAAGAAATCTGATTCCACTATAATGTACTGGGTAATCGGGTAAGTAATACTTTTTTCAAAATGTAGTCTAAAAACTTATTACTTGGTTGTCCAAATTCTCAGAACATTTTTGTTTAATAAAAACAACCTATATAATGGCTTTTTAGGTTCTTCCCAAATCCAACATTTGGTAGTAGAAACTGTAGTTTACTAAAATGCAGCAAAGGCTAAATTCATACATAAATATACATATTGAACGTTTCAACAAACTCTACTGGACCTTTAGAATTGTGTCTTATTTTTATAATCTGTTTTAATCCTTTAGTAAACTCTTGCTAAAATATTGTTTTTAACATGTATTTTAATCCTGTGCTGACACTGAATTATGTTTTTTCTGCAGGAGACTCTTCCTAGATCCAAAGCCTCGGGAGTTTTATGTTTGTTTTCATGATTCAGTCACAGAGGTTGCTGTTGAATTGGCTTTTAAGTTATCATTTGGCTTAGCTGTATAGACAAACATCTCTGCAGTTTTTCATTTTCCATGTCACAGAAAACACAGAAGTATTACATTGTGGTTTTGTTTGGGGTACCCTTTAAAATATTTTCTAAAATAAGTTATGTAATATTTAAAAAATCATACATTTATATCACTATTTATAAAAGTCATTCCTTTCAAAAGAGTAGAAGTTGGATGAGTTATGGTATTATATATTAATTATACATTATATGTAAATATTACGTATAGAATCAATGATCAAGATATATACACAACCACATTTTTCCCTTAAAGCTATATCCTTGGAAGATACACCATTATGCAGTTAAAATACAGATTTCTATTATGTATGCGCCTTAATTTAAAGAATGTAATGTAATGCTTGCATATTATGTCAGAGGTAGGGAACTGTTTTATTTCAATTTGGTGTAGGGTTTAAGATCAAAATATGTGGATACCAAAACTTCCGATGATCACAAAGATTTTATCAGAGACAGAGAAAAGAAATCTTAGTTCCTGCTGTCATCTAGTGATTGCCCACATTATGTAGTCCTTATCTAGTGGCCTTAACAAAATTGATTCCTTAAGTCTTGCAGAAAATCTGTATGTAAATTCTTAGGGGAGGTAGTTTACCTTACATTAAATGTATATAGTACTTTGTGATACAAAAAGTTATATTTATATTTGGAAAATACTTGTTATAAAGTAAAATTGAATGTTTCCTAATACTTTGAGATAAATTGAATTGTCCATTTTATTTCAGACAACGTTATATGACTTTTTTACAATAAAGGAATATTCTTCAAATAGGCTTTTTCATTCTTTTTCATTTAATTTTTAACTAAAATATATATATATATTTATGGGTTCATTATATTTCTGATAAAGACGTGCTTTTTAATTATACTAAAATATAAAGAAATATCAGTCACATTGATATCAATTTCTTGAACATATAAACATACATTAGAGAACTATACTTGGCGCTAGATTTTTGAAAGTAAGGACCAAACTAGATGAACATCATAAATAACAATCATGGCTTGGTTAAGTGCATGAAGCCATAAATCAACTACAGTGGCTAAGCCAAAGACAACATACAGTATGTTCAGTATGATATGTAAAAAGCCAAGATAGGCTTTTTAAAGGACTTTTAAATCTGGACTCAATGATTTTCCTATTACCGTCCCAATTCAGGAAAGTTTTCATGCTTAGAATTTCTGTTGGGAAATTAATGTCTTCTTATGTAAATTAGAGACTTTATTGCAATGCCAACAGCAACAAGTCAATTGAGATTACAGAAACAAAATATAAATTTATTCCTATTACTAATTTAATGAACAGCATCTTGTCCAACATGGTCCTTGGAAGATTTCGTCAATCATTGAGAAATGGAAAACAAATATGAGTGGTCAGATGTAAACCTAACAAGTACCATATGCCAACAAGTACTATTTTCAGAATAAGAAAACCTCACTACAGTAATCCTTTATGACTTCTACTTGAGCAGTAAGCAGCTTCAATTGGTGTACCAGTGATTTTGTGATCCAGGAAATTCTTCAGAACAGAAATTCATGTATTTACTGCCAAACGATAATTGTAATGCACATTACTTGGGGGTGCCTTTGAAGATAATTTAGAAAATGCTTATTTAGAGGGCAATGGTATGGATGTTGGTAGGTAGGAAACACTTTGCCAATATAAACCTATAGTTGCTGAATTGGTTGCCAAAAGCTTCCAGGTCTACTTCAAAATGTTTTTTTTTCCAATCTATAAACCTATGGCTCGTCATTACCTTTGGACGATTTATTCTGAATAGAATTTGCACATCCTGTGTAGTCATGCCAGGTATATATATTTAGGATCCCTATTCCACAAGAAGGAAATGGTGGTGCAAAGACTGATTTTGGCAGCAAATTAAATAGTATGGACCATTAACATCTGAGATGCAATTAGTTCTCAAGTTGCAATTTTTTTTGAGATGGGTGATATCACACCAAAATTACCAAAAATGGTGATAAAAGGCTGCCTCATTTGTTTCTTTTTGTCTTCTGGAATTAGATTTCTAAATTTATTACTTCTGTTTATATGTTTTCTATGACTGGGTGATATACAAATAGTTCTAGTCTGTTATTCATTAAAATCTTTATATTTTCCTATAGGCATTTGCTTTACTTATCTTAATCTTTTGACCTTTAAAAGGCAATACTATTTAATTCTATGGGGTGCTAACTGTAGTCAAACTGCTCTATTAGAAAGCTTTTATTCTGATTATTTGTGTTTTGTCTTGAATATATATCCATATTTTTGTATTTTAATGCTACAAACTATTTTGACTCCTTTGGGGTTGGCAATATACAAATGTCTCCATAAATAAATAGTGATATTACACATTATAATTGACTCTCTCATGAATATAAGTATTCATTATAGGAGGAAACAGGAATGGTGTTCTGTATTTTCTTGCTGAAATTAATGTGATAAGCCTCCCATGTGCTTTTTTTAGTTGGCTAAATTTATATTATTCATGTGAAATGTGGATAAAAACTGAAAATCCTTCGTAATTGTTGGTTGCATTAACTAAGTCTTTCCTGAGTCAAGTTCTTTTGCAGGCGTTCTTCCTTCATTTTAGGCCTCAACTCACTATACTGATCTTAGCTCCATCTTCAAAAGCCCCAAACTTTCCTTTAAAAGGAAAAGGCAGGACATTTGCTGTGATTGGGTGCTTTTGCATCATGTGGCTTGAGAATGAAGGGTGGGGGAGGGGAGGGGAACTCCATTAGCTCTTTCAGAGCAGTGACAGTTAGAAGTGTTGCCTGGTGCTGGGTGATGCTGCTTGCAGGCCCTATTTCCACCAACAACTTTCTTTCTACCCAACTGACATCATGCAGGCTGCTGAGGGGCAGCAGCTTTTCGATCCTGTCTCATTTGGGAAGGACCTCATGATAGGTGGGGTGGCAGCTGCTATTTCCAAAACAACAGTAGCACCCATTGAACGGGTGAAGCTCCTGCTCCAGGTTCAGGCCTCCTCCAAGCAGATCCGTGCTGACCAGCAATACAAAGGCATGATAGATTGCATTGTACGCATTCCTCGGGAGCAAGGTATGTTAGTCCTAGAAATAGTTCCCCTTTCAAAGTTGTTGTGGCCAAAATCCCTGTTTTAAATCTTTCTCCCATGAACACAATAAATTTAAGGATTTTAGTTTTCTTTTAGATATGTTATTATTTATTAAATTTATTTGCCACCATCTATCCACAAGGCAACTCTTGAGCTGCAATTTAGCAGAACCCTTGACTACCAGCTGTGAGTAGGACTTAAAAGCATGGTATTTACAGTAGGTAGTTGGTATTACTGTGTCTTATACAGCACCCAATCTGTGAACAGGGAGAGTGAAAATTATAGTAAAAACATCTAGCAAAACCTAGGTTACCTACACTTGCATGCCCTAATTCCATTTCTTCAAACTGCCCTAATTCCATTTCTCCAAACTGCAATATAATAATCTTAGCCTAGTGGTGATGAATGTATATGAATTCTTTAAACATCAGTCGTCTTATTGAAATAATTCTGAATATATCATAAGCTTACCTGCCAGTTTTCAATTGAATCTTTGCCCATGAATGCATGGGATTGATTGCTGGTCTGTAATTATTGTAAATGCAGAAGCTATTGATAATATTATAAATAGTGATGTACTAAATTCTACAAATAACGTTAATATAAATTTCCCATATCCATAAGGCCCACTGAGTAAGATAAAATTTACTGCCAAGTGCATGGGATTGTAACCTTTATTTTTTTATTATTTAGTAATTCCAGCCCTGATTTTTTTTAGAAAATAACAGCTGTGTTTTCTTCCCTTTGTGATTAAATAGTTTAGGATCTTGATAACCTGTTAATTTTTCCAAAAAATCTAGTGACAGAATTAGCAGAATGTAAATTTATTCACTTTTAAATGTTACTTAGTATAATTTTTCCATTACAGAACTCAAGAAGAATATAACTTTTCAAGTAATATCTCATAGCACATTTGTCTCTGCAAAATATCTTTTGCTCTCTGGAAATTTTTGTGACGTTCTATGTGTCGTGTGTATCTATGTATGATGTGGTCCAATATACTCAAGTTTATAATGGCTTGTCCTTATGGTTTCATATTGCAGTGATGTTTTAAAATAATAAATCTAAAACTTTAGTAAATAATATCTAATATTTCATCAGCATAGTTGGAATATACTGAATTTGAAACTAATAATAAGCCTAAGCCAATAAATTCTCTTCCCACTCCCATCTTTCTCTCTGTATATCTCTTATGTGGAATCTTTATGTAAGAATTAACATTCTGAATATTTTAGATTGTAGTCTTAATTTAGTATGCAAACAGAAATCAATCAGACTAGGAATGAGGTGCTGCTGTTTGGAAGTAATTTGCAGCAGATCAAATCCAGTAACATTTTATGGGGAAAAAATACTGGAGTGCCATCAGATTTATATAGTTTAGAGATTTTAAGCATTGTCTGACAACTAGGACTTGGAATAGCTAGTATGACAGACATTGTTATACTGCTTGAATTTGTTGAATATAGTATTTTTTGAAAACTGGCAAACATAATTGGATGACAGCTGCCTTTTTTTAGCTTGGCAATAAAGAATTATTAAGCATTCAAATATATAAAATGCAGTTTGATATTTTCAATCAATATTAATAAAATATATAATGAACAATGTTGTATATTAAATACTATCAAATGCTTCTTTAAAAACCTGTAATTTTAGAATGTAAGCAATTGCCACAATAAAGCAAACTTCCTTTTTACACATCAACTGCCAACAAAGAAGATTTACTTGTGGTCTTTAAATCCAAAATATTTACCTATACAAAAATGGTACTTGGATTTTAATAGCCACTCATTCTCAACTATTCTTCCCAGAGTTGGTCTAATTGGTCTAATCAGGCAGGAGGTAAAGAAGCTCAGAACCAATATGTTATCGTTTCCAAATCAAAAGGATTCATTTGGTTTCATAGACTTTATTTATATGATCTGCCTCTGCATACTATAGTAGATATTTTAAGAAAAGCTAAAATTGATATTGGGAAATGTTTTGTCCCTTATAAATCTGTGGTATCTTTCTGTATTTATCTCTTTATCTCTGGTGTAACTTGATTTTTGTTTAAGCTAGGAGCAAATTATCCACTAGTGCCAATATTTATCTTCCATGGTGAATGCTTATGAAAGTGAGCTGAAACAAAATGGATTGTTACAGAAGCAAATGGGCATCCTACAACTCTAAGCTTAGTAAAATCAGCTACACTACTGAAAACCATATGAATGTCATCACATAGAACTGGCTTCATTATAAATATTTAATCCTTACTGTGTCCAGGGCTTTGCCAAATTTGTGCTCATATTTAAGTTTAGGGCCAGGGCTTCCTAATATTGAGAACTACATGGAAGCTCTTGGTAGACTTATGGTATAAAGTACAGTAGTTAAACTGCAGTGTTCAAAAGTAGTACTCCAGAAATTATTCATATTTTGGAAATATTACACTAATGTCGGTACCATCTTATCATTACAACATATGGATCAACTGGTGATATTTTTCAATTCTAGTCAATTTGCCTTGCATATTATAAAATTTATTGGGTTTTACAAAGGCTGTCACAGCCTGTTTTGTTTTTTTCAGCAGACTTTGAGAGGTATATTAAGAACAATACCATCTTGTAATGAGAGGTTTGCTGTAAATAAAATGAATCTTATATATAAACTCTGAGTTTTATTGTAAAGTTATTATGCAATTGATGATTATGTTTTGATATTGTATATTTATTTTTATTTTGATGATGATGATGATGAAATTTATTGTATTTGCCACCTATCTTGCAGTTCGAAGCAACTCTTACATGTCTTGAAGGGAGGAAGCCAGAGGTGGTATGCAGCAGGTTCTGACCAGTTCTGAAGAACTGGTAGCGGAAATTTTGAGGAGTTCAGAGAACTGGCAAATACCACCTCTGACTGGAGATTTACAGTATCCTTCCCCTGCCACGCCCACAGAACCGGTAGTAAAAAAATTTGAATCCCACCACTGGAGGAAGCACATTGGAATGGTCCTGAGAAACAACACAAAATAGATGTCAACAAATTATCAATTAATTTTGTTGCCATTTTTTTATCTCAGTCCTAGACCTAAGCTTCCATTGCATAGTTATCAAATAGTTAAGATTAGAATAATCTATAATTCGAAAGTTAAGTATTGACTTTGGAAACACTATCAGTTTTAAAGTTGTTCACTATTAGCTTAATTTTTGAAATGTTTTCAATTTATTTCAACTGTTTAGACTTGAAATAAATTGAAAAAGTTTCAATAATAAAGTATAGTTGTGTAATTTTAAACTATTTAAAATGAGGGATCCTATGCATTTTAAAATCTTCTATTTATAGGATTTCTCAGTTACTGGCGTGGCAATCTTGCCAATGTTATTCGATATTTCCCAACTCAAGCCCTAAACTTTGCCTTTAAGGACAAATACAAGCAGATTTTCATGTCTGGAGTTGATAAAGATACACAGGTAAGTCTGATTTAATAAAGGTTTATTCTAAAAGTTCTTCTTTGTTTTAATCTTAAGAAGTACTGGAGATGTGGGTTTCTTTTGAATGATTATGGGCATTGTATAGAAGACATTGGCTGGGATTTATTGTGGCTATTATTACTGTAAGCATCTCCTGAGTTGATTAACACTTATCAGTCATGCCCATCAGGAAAAAAATATGTATATACTTTTTTTTTATTCTTATCATCAGCAGGATCCTCCACTGGATTTGACCTTAGCTTCTTTTTGTGGAAACCTGTTTAGAATTCATAAAATGCAAAATATTTAATAAAGGATTAATTCAATGATTACATAAGTAACTGCTGGGTCTTATTACTTGTAATACCTCCACTTAACACCCAATAATATGTTGGTTTATTTTTTCAGTGTTCTAACACCTGTTGTATTAAGGCAGCAATATTCTACTTAATCTTTTCTAGATGTGTTGGAGTGTCAGCAAGTTAGAAATCCCAGATAGATACTTGCTTGACCACTTGAAAATGAAAGAAGGAAATTTGTGAGTGTGTAGGCATGAATATTCAACAAAAAAGTGTTCAGAACTTCAGTTAGTCTTATGCAGTCTTATAACTTAAATGTTTTAGGCTATGACACCTATCATCCCAGCCCAGGTTGTAAATTCCAACAACTATAGTCCAAATGTATCTAGAAAGTATTAGCTTTGACCAGGTTATATTAAGCAAATAAATTTCAGCATTATCTAATTATTTGAAACCTGATTGATCAGTCACTTGAATGTGTGGATGCTTTTGAAAATAATTGTCTGCATTGATATCGATTATTGGTTGTTGCTTCTCCTACAATGTCTTTTCAATCTGTAAATGTTTAATATATTTCTAAAAGGCATTGAAGAATTAATCCCATTTCATTCACTAAGAAGTAATAATAAACATAAATAATTTTTAATCTACTGTACAATTGTGCGTATAAGAGTGGAAAGTAATTTGCTTTCCAAATGTTTTAGATTTCATATTTCATTTTAATACAATTAATCAATGTAGTGTAATTGTAAACCACTGGGAATCTTGATTAAAATATGCCAATATAAATACAATAAATAATTTTTACTTATTTTTGAAAAGTTATATGGTAGAGAATAGAAAGCATGCAAAGGTTTGTATCTAATGGGCTTGTCAATCGTTGAGGAAAGGATGTTTTTTTTAAATGTATGTTTATTTATGTAAGTGCCCTAAATGTATGAATGAGAATAATATCAAGAAGAATTAAAACTCCCTTTGCCCAGTAGGCAATTTGTCTATATTTATTTTAATATCTTCTGAATTAGCAAATACTTATTTTACATTTAAGGTTCTTTTATTAATAATCACTTGCAAATGACCTTATTTAATCTTCAATATTTTATATTATATGTTCATCTTCTGTCAACTTGAGACAAATTAATTCTTAATTTATTACTCTACAGAACATGATACTTTTCTTAAAGAGACATCTTGTGGCAATGTCTGTTTCCAGTGATCAGAACTCTTGATGCCTATATATGAACATACCCATGCCATTTTCTTGGCAACAACACAGAAGCATTTTACCATTAACTTCTTACAAATTACTTTTCTGGTTTCTGCTAACCTGCAGCCCTTAGTTTTCTCTTGATCGCAGATCTAAGAACAGAAGGAGCCTACACTCGTAACCTTTTGAGATTAGCCAAACTCAGTAAATGTTGCCATTTACTCCATAATATAATGGAGTATAATGAATAAAAGCTAAAATAACTAAACTTCAGTGCTAAATAAAACCACTGGAAGGTGTATTTTAACAAAATATATTGCAAAACTACCACACTCATTTGAATTAAATAAGAGTTGCCTTGTTTAACTGCACAAATGAAACATACATTTGAATCTAAAATTGTAAATACAATACTTTTCAAAGAAGTTAATCCAGAATACTTTTTTAAAAGTAAGTAATTAGGCTACTTACACTTTAACACATAAAGTTCAGGGTGGTTTCTTTAAGAAAATGTGTTGTAAGGTAAGGTATCTACAATCAAAATTATTTTGGACACTATTTTCTATTTATAACAATTGACATTGGTTGAAGTGAAGGGATATTGTGAATATGTATAACCAGTAATTTTGCCATCCAAACTCCCTAAAATATTGGCCATTTGCTTTTATTTGAATTTGATCATATATAAAATCAATGTCATCTCACATTACAGTAGTTGAGATATTCATCAGCAAATAAAGGGCTTGAACGCAATATTGATTTTGAATGGAGCACACTATTTCTATTACAGTTTATGAGATGGTTCGTTTCAAATCTGGCTGCTGGTGGAGC